GAAAAACTTAAACATTATTCCTCATTGTCAAAGCTCTATGAATGCTTTTGGCTCATAAGAAACTGCGAATGACCATTACTGATATGCGACGTGCTTAACTGAATATAACATTTTTTATCACCCGGTAGGTTCAACTCAGTGATTTGTGAGATGTAGCATCAACCTTGACCCTGCCGCAACACACAGAACAGAGCTGACAATAAACGCCAACTGCAGAAGATCTTTGCAGGGAATTTACATCGGTACAGACGTGAGAAATTATTGGAAGCAGCTCCTAGACGAACCAGTCTGAAGAAGTTCCATAAGGATCTTTGCGATTATGATGTTCCAGTACACCTCCTGATGAACGAAGGTAGAACTATCACTACATCACGCCATGATATGGAATTCGCAACGAAAAGGTCCTATATCGATCTTTTCCACTTCACACTACCCGTATAGGACTTCAAAATCTCTGCTGGTGAAAAAATCGCCTGGAAATCTACCTTCTGAAGTTCGAGTTGCGATGGAAAGCATGAAGAGAGGCACATCTCCAAGCCCGATAATATCACTGCCAATTTCTTTAGAGGTGGTGGCCACAAACTATTTGTACTTCTCACAGCTCATATGAAATTTTGGGTTCAGCAGGAAAAAATCCTAGACCAGTAGAAGAATTCGCGCACGGTCATAATACGCAAGAAGAAGACAGAAGGAATCTTCATAACTGCCGTCCATTATGTTTGTTGAGTGCACTCTCCAAGTTGTTGAAGAAGATCCCTTTTACTCAAATCGAAGACCTTGGACTAGGCACAACCAGTGCAATTGAGTAGGCAGGATTCTGACAGAGATTCTGCTCGTGGACCGAATCCAAACCGCTTTACGGGTCCAAATAATCTGTAAGGAGTGCCATCTGCGCCTTTTCCTAGCATTTATCGACTACGAGAAAATGTTTGACAACATATAAACCAATGCAATCCTATTTCCTCGCGTTGACCAAGGAGTGGACTCATCCTCTATACAAACACTAGCTGACTATTCTTTGAGCTACAGCATAAATATACAGCTTTTTTCGGCCCTTCACTACATCTATAATATGAGAGGTTCGACAAGGCGACACAATATTGCCAAAGCTGTTTACTGTAGCACTGAAGTGAGTAATCAGTAAGAATGGGAAAGGCAAACGTATTGAGGAAAAATCCCCACCAAATCTTTGTTTTGCCAATGTCGATCTTTCTGAGAAGTGCCACTAAAACAGGGACGATGCTGAATGAGCTCAACGAAGACAGAGAAAGATCGGACTGCACATAAGAAGGACAAAGGCCCAGTGCATGAAGAACCCACGCTGCGAATGTTTACAAATCGAACTAGATGGTTGTCAAATACTAGAAACCAGGTCGTACTTCTAGCTTGGAGGTTTAATAGATAACGACTTGGGGGAATTAGATAGAAGAATAAGAGAAGTATGTAAGGCATTTTGGCCTTTCAAAAAAAACACTGATCAACTAATAGACCCAAATCTCCACGCTCACTTTTTCGATTCAGCCTTGCAAGTGCTCTATTGTGCAACAGAAACGTGGAATGTTACTTTGAACACGTAAGGAACACTGCGCGCCAGCCAAAAAGCGCCTCAACGATGTCATCTGAAACTTAATCTCCACTCGCAACTTCTATCCGGAATTCGCAGCTCAGAGATTCGAAACCTATTCCATCCTTGATATCCAGGAAAATATACATTGATAACGAAAGATAAATGAGCCGGTAACATAATAAGAGGGAAGAGTTCGTAGTTATTCCTCGCCAGCTAGATGTTAAGATAACTGAGGAGCATCTAAGTGATGTTACCCTTTATCGCCCATCATCTGAAAAGGAATACAAAAGCCAATACCGAAAACTAAACAATCAATGGGTCAAAACGGCGTGGCACGGCCAGGTGGTTACAGCAGCTGTGGCAACGAACCAAGCCGCCGAAAAAAATTATCTTATGGACTGAGGATTGGGTAAGCGGATAGGTGAGGAGTGGTGTTTTGGTGGAGGGGGAGCCTGGCGGGGTGGGGAAACTGGGCAGAGCGGACGAAGCTGGCGGTTGGGAATAGGTGGTGGGAGTGGCAGTGGAGCCATGGTGGATGGTCTGCGCCAGGAAATCGCCCAAAAACGCGTTTTAAACGAGAAAAACGCGAAAAACAGCCGCCCACTCGACGCGGACTACTTGTCTGCCACGAGGCCAGAAAACAACTGCGAACGCTATTTTCGCCGTGCCGACACCGGCTGTCAGCTAGTTACGCAGACCTGCAAAAGCCCACACCGGATACTGCAAACGCGGACGAGTTATCCGAACGCGGGCGAGTTGTTCGCCGCTGCTCCAAAAACGCGATTTTCGTCGCGCCGACGCTATTTCCAGCCAGCCGTCAGCTCTACCAGGTGCGCCCTGCCTCGCGGACGAGTTTTCCGGCTGCAAGCCGGAAAATCGCAAAAAATGCGAAGGACGCCGAATTCTCGAAAAGTAACCCGAACCCCCAAAAGTACCGAAAACTCGAAAAGTCGTCCGAACCCAGAAGTGTTGAAATCTCGAAAATTCGCCGAAACCACCAAAAATGGCGAAATCTCTAAAAAGCGTAAAAACGCGAAAAACGCCGAAACGTTCAAAAAGTCCTCAAAACTCGGCCTAAGCTTGGGCCTAAGCTTAAGCCTAAGCCTCAGTCTAAGCTTAAGCCTAAGTCTAAGCCTTAGCCTAAGCCTCCGAGTGTAGCCAGAAATCAGACGTTACGTAAGTGCCTCAGCCACACAAATTTACCATTGACTCCCAGGATCGACTTTCTATTAACCTCAGTGGAAGGCACGTAAAAACGGTGGGTTTTTCGAGATGCTGTTGGCTCTGTAACTATCATTTGGATTCTCATCATTTTGTATGTGCTATTGAAGCGTTTGACCTATAAAGTTACGTATTAATGTACCCTTCCAGGCTCTGAAGAAGGCTATTCTGCCGAAACGTCAGCTGCGATTGTGTTATATACGTGTTATTGTATGGGAATAAACGTATGCTTTTCAACAACCTCGCTAAGAAAACGCAGAAAACGTTGGCAGAGAAAACGACGAATTCATAATACAGTGCCGAGGTTAATAGAAAGTCGATCCAGGGTACTATTACAAAATGGGAATTTAGCTGAGCTCCGCATAACCAGTGAAGACGAGCCATCCAAGTGTCCAAGTAAGTAAAGACAGGTTTTCGTTTTTTGTCATGCTTAAAAGTCATGCAAAGCACTCACGTCATTACATGTCACACTTGATACCGCCTCTGACCACTCCATGACAACTATATAGAGAGTTACAACCACAACGTTGCTGAGATATTTGCAAAACTCTGGACCGCAGGTGTCTATGGTGGGAAACGAACGTGCTATTGTCCTTTCCGGGGAGTAACGCGTTCACCACCACACCATGCGGGTCCCTCGTTTCGCTTGTCTCTCAGCTATTTCAATCGACCCAGATCAACCCCGCTGACGGGTGATTGCTGCGGCAAAGGTCGATAGAAATAGCTGAGAGACAAGCGAAACGAGGGACCCGCATGGTGTGGTGGTGAACGCGTTACTCCCCGGAAAGGACAATGGCACGTTCGTTTCCCACCATAGACACCTGCGGTCCAGAGTTTTGCAAATATCTCAGCAACGTTGTGGTTGTATTTCGCTTAGTACCCTGCCGCGAAATTATAATAGGCAGAAAATAAAAAGGTATAATATATAGAGAGTGTCATGGATTAAATCACCAGCTCATTCTCCACGGCAACCGGCCTACTTGCATCCGACTAGGTCGTTTCCTGAATTTCTAAGACACGCCACAGTACTTCATCAATTGTTTACGAAATTTGTTGCAGTGCTTCTCCTTCTCTCCTCTCCTCGGTACATTTTTGTTATACATCTCTTTCTCTATACATCTCTGTTACGTACATTTATTGATCTCGTTCGTTGGCTGTTGCGTTGACGTTATTTACACAAAATTTTGATTACCCAAGTTTAAGTTGGCGCATTTTTCATTGGCTATTCTGAACCCATTCTTATGCGAATACTGCTCACTCATTAATGTACAGCCTTCTTTCCTAGTCAACTTGCAGAATGCAGTCTGCATACACTCGAGCACTCACGTTCAAGAATGTGATTAGGTATGATTAGATATTTACAGAAGATTTAAGGTAGCTGAACATATTAATGAAGAGGATGCCTCTTACGCCAAACACAAGGATTGCTTTTAGTACACTTGTTTATGCTAGGGCTACTAGATGATAATGGACATATTTCTCCGATAAGAGAACATCTTATGTCTTGCCTTTCAAAATTACGCTGATTGTGTTTATCTCCATTTGATAATTCTAGACACTTATATTTGTCTGAAGTACTCGAGTTTGTTTTCAATTGTCAATCATCGTACATACCGGATGGTGGTCAGATTTCTAGCCAATGTTCTTCATACGAGAGAAGATGGTTTAAGGCTATTTTTCTGCGTCTTAGCTGGTTTGTTCTCTACTGATTTTTTTTCTTTGTCAACAAAGTTTGTCCTCTGAAATGTGCTAAATTTTTTTGGTGACACTCCTTTAAAATTTCATTGCCGTCAGTTTTATAAAACTTGTACAGTATCCTATCAGGCCACATTTATTCTTCTCTATAACCCTTGCTAGCATCTTTTTAGTTATTCGCGTGAATGCCATGAGAATCCACCACTATATAATGGTCTAGGTAGCTTTTATTTTATTTTTTCTCATCGAAAATGCCTTTTTTACGTTAAAAAAGATATGTTTATACACTTTAACCTCTTACGAAGTGAGTAGTCGCGCTAATCAGTCGTAGTCATTGGGTTTTTAGAAATGGCGTGAGGTATTTCATAGCATAATTCTAAGAAAATAATAAATTTTGTTTCTTCGATCTTCAGAAAACCTAAAGCATAGTGATGCCTGTAACTATATGGTAGTGCTAAAGAAAATGGTAGTTCCAATGTCCAGTGCAACCGGACGAGTTTCTGTTAAACCTAGAACAATGTTATCAAATTCAGGTTATCCACTGGCGCTCCTCCATCGCTCAATACTATACAAGAAGCCCACCCAAATTCAACATGGATTTTTCGTAATTACTGGAATATTGCTCTATGTATTTACTTACGGTGAGGTATTCCTCTTCGTTTTTTTTTTCCTTCATCGAAATTCGTCAATAATGCTAAAGCGCTGCTTCATCAATCCTGTGCTTAGTGGGATAATTGGCTAGCACTGGTTTTTAAAAACAATTTAACCATTTTCATTAAGCCGTTATTTTTCTATAGTAGAGCTTTTTCTCCTGGTTGCCCCAAGCGCTACTGCAATGTTTTCCCAGGCCGCCATCCTTTGTCTACCAGGAAAGATTGGAAGAAGGAAATATTTCTGAGCAACGACTTTATTTCCTTTGCTACCGTTGAGCTTCGTGTCACTGGTTCATTTCTATTTTGTCTTTTCAATAAACAAAATTGTCAAACTCCTCAGTTTGGCTGTCGCTGTGCCCCGAGGATGAAAACCTTTTTGTACGTCGAAGATCGGCCTCAAGGCACAAATTGATCGAAACCGTTACAATTTGAACGCTTGTCTGAGACGAATACACAGAGATAATAGCACTTTTTGTATTATTCTATTCAGGTCTTGACACCGTACATAGCTTGATTGCTGTTCTATGCACGTACTTGATAACAAACTTCATGCCTGGAAAAACTGAATCCATTATTGTAGCTCACGTTTCTCTGATGGTATGACTTTTTTTTGGAGTCTAGAGTGTTTTCTATAGCTTAGACTGTAACAGCCTGCAGTTAACAAGTGGTGATTAGTGGTGATTTCCAAGACCAACTATGTAATACTTCGGCTTTGTTTAATACTTCACTTTTCTTTCGATGAACAAACACGAGGTTGCTGCAATGCTATATATTAACCCACAAAAGCTGATTTGTCGGTGAATTTCGCCTTTCTGAGGTCCTGGAAAAGTCAAGTTCATTGCAAGCCAGCAAACCAAATACCTCCGTTACCTCAACAGAAAACCACGAGGTGTGAACTTCAATCGCAGTAGAAACAAAACAGTTTCTTCACACACTCACTGTTTTTTAGTAGTTTTCCTCAGGCTGTTCCACATGAAGGCCAATCGAAAGAGCCCATATAGATGAGTTGTATGTCTTGACACTTGACACTTGAACGGCCCGTCCACACTAGTTGTGCAGGCTCCAGCATAATCACCATTTATCCGAGATTTGCTGGTTAAGCCATTGTGGCTCCCTGAAATCTCGAAGTCGGCCTGGCCAGAGTCTGTCCCTGGTCTTAACCACCATGGGCAGTCGTAGCCCTTGTGGATCAGAGGGAGATTTGCCACCATGCAACTTCGATACCAGAACGGTGGCGGATCCTGGTATTGGTTTATTGTTAGCTAGGCTCCTTGATGAAAACTCCGGACTCCTCAGCTTGGGAGACCCTACCGGGAAACGAATCGTCCAGCTGTACATCGCAATACGGCGCCCAGGAGCACCTCCCTGCTACGATGAGGCAGTAAACCGTTGAGAGGAGTATGTCTTACTCGCGTTAAAATGTCTCTCTGAGATGTTGTATGAGTTCACACGTGATGACGAAGCATCTCTTTCTACAGTTCATTTTTCGATTCTTGGAATCTATCCGAAATTGATCGAGGGTTTTGCATGCTAAAGTTTTAGATTCCTATACGAGGATATTGACTTGTTCCTTGAAATCTTCACCTTTATGTCTTTGTGTCCCATGAGAACAGCATTTATCTCAACTTTAAATTTGCCGACTAGGTGTTTATTTATACGAATGCACAGTGGTTAACCCGTTTTGTCAATGTCTTCGTCCCCTCACGCTTTGCAAGAAATCAGATTAACTGCATCCCAACTCATGCAACCACCGTCTCCGCGTCAAGACAAAGTATGCAATTCTGGGTGGTGCATAGACGATCATGCAAACGGTAACCAACTAGCTGGTGTTAGATGGTGTTTCAATCACTGCTAACTATTTCTCGTAAATTTGTAAGCAAACCAGAATCACTAGGCGCTCAGAGGATATAGAACGTATCTGAGATTTGGAATAGAGTTCACTATCCTCGCACAGTAATCTAAAACCTCAGCGCCTAAAACCGTCGAGGCATTTTGGCTTAGGCTACAGAAATCCAGAACTTAACTGTACGAAGAAAGAGTCGTTATCACGCACGATCCCACGCAATTTCTCAGTCTTCAATTTTGAAGTGAGAGAGGCACATTACCCCTATACATGTGAGCTCCGTGCCATTGGCTTCCACATGAAATAGTGGTTGCAACCTAATAGAAAACAGTGAGTACGTAAAGATGCTATTTTGCTTCTTATGCTATTGAATTTTGCGCTTCTTGGCTTTTCGTTGAGGTTTTATAGTATTCGGCCGACTAGATTGCAGTCAACTTGAGCACTCCAGGTTCTGAAGTAGGCGAACTTCGCCGAAACGTTGGTTTTTATGAACAAGTGAACACTATAGAAACAATCTTGTATTTGATCATCGTGTGTGTGTGTGTGTGTGTGTGTGTGTGGGTGTAACTGTGTGTGTATGTGTGTATTGCATGTGTGTTGGAGAGTGTTTCAACCTCTTGCAAACAGTTATGCGTCCAAATTAAACATCAAATGCTTCCCGCTCAAAGCTCTATTTTTTTCAACTTATAAAAAGGTTTCAAAAGACCCAATAATCCTAAATTCGAAATTACTTCTTTTAGGGTTATCTAATGGTTGCTTACTGGTTCGAAGAATCAGACGGTTATGATATCATCTGGACAACACCATTCTGTGTTATGACATTGCGGTTTATCGGACTAGTGATGGATGTCTATGATGGTGTTCATTGTGTAAGAAACAGACTAGTTACCGATATTTTCTTAGCTGGGTATTATTGAATGTATTGTAGAAAAAACTAAAAGAAGACCAGAAGAATACTGCGATACAGGATATTCCTGGCCTTCTTGAAATCGCTGCTTTTGGATTCTTCTACACAGGAACGTTCGCTGGACCTCAATTCACGCTTATTAAATTTCGGCAATGTATAAACGGAGAATGGCTTAATGAACAGAAAGGACCAAGACAATCGGCGTGAGTTTGATAGTGACTTCGTAATACTTCCGAATGGTGACATTTCCAGGTGGAACAACTTTATAATGCTTGCACCACCTCCACTACGACTAAAAGGTTCCTGTCAATTTCACCAACCTTCTTCAAGAGAGCAAGCTGCTTATGGGGCTTACTCGTCACATGGGGAACGAAGAATGTTGCATTACTTGTACGATATTCTTTTTCAGCTGCCTTGGCAGAACGATGATGTAGGCTTAATTCAAAGGACCGGCCTTCTATAGAGCTCAGCTTAAATAGTCGATATATGAATAAATGCTCTTACCAACTGTACTTGTTGAGCTGACGCGAGATTGGTGCTAGTTGTTGTTGCTGCTGCTGTAGTTTAAAATCTTCGGTTTCGTCGACTTCGCCTTTCATATTTTGTTTAAAAACTGTTCACCATGTACAACTTTCACCTACCGCCCAATATTTTCTTCACGTCAAGCTGTTATGTGAAATACAACCACGGTGATTCTGTGATATGTGCAAAACTTAACTCCAAGTCGGATTGAACAGCGACTACTCTTTCCGGGAGCCCACTATTCATTGTTTTATTGCTCGTGGAACCATCGGCGTGTCGTTCACAACGGTTAACGAGTGAGACCCATGCAACCTAAAAGAAATTTCTCTCACTTACATTTCTCAGTTTTTTAAGAAAAAAACTGGCAGAAGAAAAGGCCAAGCAAGAGCCTCAGTGGCGCAGTGAGTAAAACGTGAGCATCCAGAAAGGGTAATCGCGGTTTCGAATCTTCTGGCGTTGGGTCCAAGTTTTGCATATATCTCAGCATCGCTGTGTCTGAATTTCACATAATACCCCGCTGTGGAAAAATAATAGGCGGTGTTGGGACGGCTCGTTGATATAGGAATACCAAGTAGTTAAGACAATTCAGTTGGAATTAGCTGCTCGCTTTTGTGTCCGCCACGCAGGACTTCTTGTAAGTAGCAGTCACAATGCCGGCCACTTCAAACTTGGGTAATTAAACTGTTTATCGTATTTATACAATAATTATAGCATAACAATACAACTGTACAACTAATTCAACAATAAAACAAGTAGTGAACAAGCGCAGCCTGATCACTGGTTTTCAGGTTGTTTATGAGTGAAGAGATTGGCATATAACTTCTACTACATGAGGTGGATGTAAGGAACGGATACGGTGACTTGGGCAGCATTGCTGTAACATAGACTAGCTAACCGTGGGGCCGTTTATATACCTTTTGCACTAGGAGGGGTCAGACTACAGTAGGTGGAGTCGGGCTACAGTAGGCGGAAAGACGGGTGCTGGAAGCACTGCTCAAGCATTGCAATCTGATAGGGCGATTTTCAAAGCCTAGGACCGTAAGTGCAGATATTTTACGAGATAGGCGCCAGAGAAATGTTAGACATACGGCTATCAGATAGTCATGGAGAGAAGGTCATGGGTGGAGCATTTGAAATGTTTGAAAAGGTTTGAAATGTTCTACATAGAGAACATTCCAATATACGTAAAGAGTATTCTCTATAAGCGGCAAATAAAAAACTAAGCATCGTATATAGTTTTTGTTACATAACATTCGTCCGGGCTCCGAAGAAATGAAAGTCGCCGAAACGTCAGCTATTGAGCCACATCAAAAACAACAGCAACAACAACCAATACCAACTTCACATCAGCTTAACAATGACGGTTAATAGGAGCATATTTACATATATAGATGTAGGTTTGCTCCTAGGTGGGTTTCTGGGTGGAAATATCGAACTGCTCAGTTTGCTGGGCGATGAAACCCCCCATAATTTGCGGCTTGTACGCTTAGGAATAGTTTGGCATAACGAACTACTAAAACATAGGGAAGTCTTGGGGCTGCTTTTATCTTGCTTCCCTCCAATAGTTTTGTATACGTGCGCTATAAATATGTATGTAGTATATGTACAGCACTGAAATGTGTAAATTTTTTTTCATTTTTCTAAGTACCCTCCCAACGGTTTACCGCCTCATCGTGGCTGGAAGGTCATCCTGGATGTCGAGCTGCGATGTACAGCGGAGGGATTCATCCTCCTGGCAGGGTCTCTCAAGCTGAGAAGGAATCTGGCGTTTCCATCAGGAAACCTAGCTAAGAGTAAACCAATACCAGGATCCACCATCGTCCTGGTATCAAAGTCACGCGGTGGCATATCTTTCTCTAAGCCAGAAAGGCTGCGACTCTCTGTTGTAGTTACGACTTGGAGCAGACTTTGGCCAGGCTGTCCTCGGGATTCCAAGAGACCACAATGGCTTAACCCGCAAATTTTCGAAAAATGGTGATTATGCTGGAGCCCACACAACTTGTGATGACGCACCGTTCAAGTATCAAGTAAGTAAGTTTCCTCAGTACAGAATAGAGCTTTTTCCACACAACGCCCAACACAATATCTGTGCTTTATGAGCTACAAATCCATAACGAAAAGTGTAGGAAACAAGCTTAATTTTTAAAATAAACAGGTTGTTTTTTGTAGGTATTATACTTGGGAACTCCTGTAAAACCACCCAATTTATTTTATTTTATTTTGTTTTTTTTATTTCTTTTATTTCGTCTGATCCGTCTTCGCGTCTACTGTGCGGATCCCAGCACTTCTCATATCCATTTCGTTTTCTCGCATACATTGTCCACGAAGGTCTTCCAAGTTTTTACGTGTGGCTTCGATTGCTGCTTGAGAATTTTAATTTCACCTTGAATGTCGTTGAAGGCTGGTCGAACAGTTCGCCCTGGACTCCTGAGATAGCCGGATTGAAGCGTTCCCGATCCGATTTCAGGAAGTGGTTTTTGCCCCAGACAAGCCCGATACTAATTTCCCGAACCTGGAGGGATGAGAGGCTTGGTTGGTTCAGAACGGAATCAAACTAGCATCATGCTCGTGATGATGGACATCACTACCACTGTGCTATCCGCTTTCTAGAAAACCGTTATAACCAATTTAATAGCGTGTCACTAGTCGCACAAGTGTTAAGCAACAAATCCATTGTCATAGCATGTATTTTTTACCTATTCAGGAAACTTTTCTTATTTTGACGGGTGATTGCTGTGACAAAGATCGATAGAAATAGCTGAGAGATAGGCGAAACGAAGGACCCGCATGGTGTGGTGGTGAAGTGCGCTGCTCCCTGGAAAGGACAATAGCGCGTTCGTTCCCCACCATAGACACCTGCGGCCCAGAGTTTTGCAAATATCTCAGTAACGTTGTGGTTGAATTTCGCTTATCACCCTGCCGCGAAATTACAGTAGGCAGAAAATAAAAAGGTATAACATTTTCTTATTTTGTTTCGCCACTCGTCCTCCTTTCCTATTCCTATAGAGGTGGAAACTAACAAGTCTTAGAATACATCTTTCTTTAGACTTCAAGCTTCCTTATATCGATTCCTTGGCGGATGCGTTTATATGGCTGTGAATCAATGCGGTACTGCCTGGGTTCCAAATTCTTACTTCAACACTCAGGAATTCTACGTATGGGGTTTTTTTAAAAATCTTAGTTTAGCTTGAGGAGACCGCTTTTTGAGGGAGTCTCTAAATTTTTCTCTTATGTCTCTTCTTTGTAAGTACATTTGTCGACGAGGTAACCGTTACCTTCCATATTTTTCCTTGAAATTTAAATTTACACCCACCACTTTAGAACCAGTCGTTCTTCTGGCGTTGGACGTGGGTAACGATTTGGTTTCGTCTGGTTATAAGTCGATACTGTGCCATGTGGATGATTACGGTATAGGTTGTTTCGCTCAGTAGTACTTTTTCCATAAAAAAAGCTATCGTTTCAAGTCTAATATATTTGTGGAACCGGCAACGATGCTGTTTTATGATTCGACTAACTATCACCTGCATCAGCTGCCCTCCCATAGACCGTCGGGTAATTGGAGCGGGCCCCAGTAAAGTCTCTATTTGTCCCTTGACTTGCAAAAATTTCCCATTGCACTTTGTTTATTCTACGAGCTTGGTAAGCGTTGTAATTTCTTTTAGGTTTTTGTGAAGAATCTGGACCATCAGTTAGGTGGTACTGGCATTTGAAATTTCGTGAAATTCAGTCACTAACGAATGTCGTCCATTTGTTGCTGTTAAAAGTGATAATGTGTCCACCCACATGAATCTAATTATTTTGGCATGCACAAACCAATCTCTGATCATCTTTGATCGTTGACATAGCTTGGGACTTCGGATTCTCTCTCTCTCTCCCTTGTCACCTGTGCGGTACAGGGTGCTCTCCTAATCATGCTCTCGAGTGCGCGTTCGACAAATCTCACTCCTGCCTTTGTAGCGACCAGGTTTTCAGCACTTACATTAACGCACCAAAACGCACCGATTCAAGATGATGGGCACGGAATTGTGTGTTCTTTGTTCTCCTCATTACATCTTCAATGTTTTCAAAAACACCCCAAGGCGTGCGCTTCTTTTTGCCCAGTTCTGGAACTAACTCGTTCATCATGATGGCTTCACGACCCAGAGCTGGAGCAATTGGACAAATTCGTTCCGTTAAACATGAGTAGTGCACTAAAACCAAATCTATTCTTGATTAACATCGTTTTCGCGAGACGTTGCTTCCACGTAGAATACTCAATGAAACACTCATAGAAAGGGGTAAGCTATTTTTTTTTCAATGTGATTGAAATCTTGGTTTAGCATTCTCTCTATTTAGTTATGGAGCTGTTCGGCTGAGCAGATTGTGGCAGACTTAATCTTTCTAGGCTCTGAAGAAGGCTGAATCCTTCAAAACATCAGTTTTACCGTAATAAGGAACAACTTCACACCTCGTGTTTGCTTAACAAGAATATAGCAAATTATTCGATCAGTGTCTAAATGAATTGAAAGTCGATCTTGGGAAGACCAATCTCTCCGTAAGAGTCGTGAAAGTCCGCAAGTATTTGCTTTGCAACGCTTGTTATAAAACTGGTACAGTTAGCAAAGAGAAAATGGTGTGATGGGAACCATTAACTTTCACCAACCATCTAGGCCCATTCCAATTTTCGCATGCCCCTCTCTGGAGGGCGGCTGCCAGTAATTTTGGCAAGATGGCATAGTGTTGTTGAGTCGGACTGCTAACAATAATAAATCATATTATAATTCACCTCACATTATTCATCGCTTTATTTCGTCTAGCCGGTGTTCCTAGGTGTCAAACACCGATGTTATTCGTGAAATTCATCCATCAGAAGGGTTTTCTAAGCTGTAAAGGAACTCCACATTTTCACCGAAAAGCCGAGAAAATACTAAACCTATGAAACATCGGAGCCCGGCAAACCAATAATCACTTCATTGCTGTGAAAAACAGTAAAGATAGCGGTCCTTGCGCCGAAAGTGTGGTGTCTTTCGTATTTCTCAAGAGAAAGCATCCAACTTGGGCGTCGATGATAGATGTAATAGGGGTGAGTCGAGTGCTTGCCGACACCCACTCGAGTTCACAGTTTAAATTCGAAATTAGAGGTCATATAGGCTATAATGCGCTGCCCACGGTCCAACGTTAACATCGCCGTTGATGGTGATTGAATAAATCTTCGTTTGTCAAGTTAATTCGTCAATTTATTGAATTTGGAAGTGTTAAGAGCTGATATTAATCGTTTTGTGCACTTGTCTCCCTAATACTTAATGTCATTCTTATTTCAGGAGGGTGCGGCTATACTTAATGGACTGGGATATAATGGAAAGGATAAGAATGGCGAAGATCGGTAGGATCACAATCAAACCAAGCCATTTTTTTTCAGCGTTAGAAGTCTTCTTAGTTGCTGAAAGAAGTGATTCTGGAGCGTTTTCCGCGCATGGATCCCCTTTAAGCTTCTGAAACGGAAGTCCGAGCGACTTGCTGTTTTAGATGGGATGGTGTTCGCGACATACATGTTTGGAAGTGGGAGACGGGCAGTGATTTCACGTCGTGTATACAATCGTTCAATTGTGGGACAAACAATTGGGTGAAAAAGTGAGTGAATTGCTACTCGGCTAATTTTTATTTTTTTCTTATAACCCGTCATCATATCTACTGTGCGGGTCCTAGGAATTCTTGCATTGGATTCGTTTTGCCCCATTCATCTTCCATAATGGTCCTGGCAAAATCCGCGTGTGGTTTCGTCTGTTGCGTGTGAATTTCATATTCTGCATGAATGTCGCAGAATGCTGGCCGAATCAATTCTCCTTGCAATCTTGGAGATAGTCGGACTAATGCGTTCCCACCCGTACTGGAAAGGGAAGTTGAGGAGAGGGTCGGACTTAGCACCTTACTTCCTAATTGATATATTATGCCCTCGAGCTGACGTAGTTAAACCGCTACTCGACTGAAAAACTAGTAATTCTACCTCTTAATGAAACCTAATTTCAGCCATATTATGCGTCGACTGCGATGGTTAAATAGTAAACCAGCAGCGCATATCATCACGTTAGGCTATTTAGCAATTTGGCATGGTTATCATCTCGGATACTTTTTGCTGTTTGGCCTAGAGTTCGGTTGTATGTTGGCGCAGAAACAAGTCAGTGCTTTTTGCTTTGATTTTTGTTATTCCATGCATTCTTCAATACCGATGTTTTGCTCATTTTGTAAGATCGGAAAGCTTAAAACCTTCTACTACAGACGAACGTGTGCATCCTGACCTCAATAGACATTCACATACTATGCACGCCGTTCTCGTTGAACCAGTTTGTTGCTGAAAGAAAAAAATCGGTATTCATCTATAGAAGGAAGCTATTTAATCCATTTGAATGTTCCTCAACCGGCAACTAAACTCGTGGAGCGTTTACGCCTGAAAATAGTTCTAATCGCAAGGCGACTAGTCTCTCCTCCGATCCACAGGGGAGTAACAGCGCGTAATGAAGATGCGTGGAGCCCTAGAATATCTTTAATGAGGTTCCACGGAAAACCACCCTTAGAAAGCATTCGACATGCAATTTAAGGGCGGTAACGTTTTCCGTGAGTAACAACTGATAGCGGAGCAGCGAAAGAGTAGAAGAATGCTTGGGGGCTACTCAACATCTGAAAATGGCTCATTTAAGTATCTATCTATTAAGAGTCTTATCACCATTGTTGGCTCTGTTGCTCCGATCTTTGATTGACGAAAAAATGGTCGTATCGTGTTCTGGTAGTGGTAAATCTGTGAAAAGTTGTGATGAAAGTAGCTTGAAAAAACCTTTCAGCTATACACGCTCATCGACCAAATGCCTGGTCTGGCTGAGTTTCTTGCTCGACCACAAGTAAGGCCTTTTACGTGGTTATTTGGACGACTGACTGTTCTTTACAGTATGAGTTTTGGATTTCTTACTTTTGGCCTCGTGAAGACAAGATACTGGATAGGAGTGAGTGATACACTTTTTATCCATTAATAGTTATGCTTACAAACTCGTCATGGTAGCCATCCATAGCCACAAGATCTGATCGGAGTGCGTGCAAATTGAGCAGAAAAGCAATCCTCGTCGCGAATGTATCAAAAAATGCACATTGGATGACAATTGTTTAGCTTAGAGTAGAAAGGAGGACCACTTGTAGTCCTATTAATCATGGCGTGACTGCAGTGGGCATCAATGAACTCCAACTGTTTCCGTCTCCACCATGACCGCTCTTTCGGTGTCATTCTCCAAGCATGCACGTATGGTGACATACTCTTTGGTAGATGCCTTTCATAAGCTACTTTTAGCGCGAAGATGGCATGAGTTAACTCATAGCTGGGCTGCTAATGGAAAAACCGAACTTCTCTCGGCTTGGGTTACTACCTACATACCAAGCTACCATTGGAAGAGTGTTAAGAAGGAAACAGAAGAGGGAATAAGTGCAGCGTAAAATAAATAACTCCTGTAATTATTATGTATTTACTGAACACTCATGATTTAGCCAATCAAATCGTTGTACTTCATTGGCTACATTTTCTACCTTATTATATGGCCATTATTTTGTCAACTTCTTCTTAACATACTTCCGACGAAGCCAAAGAGTGCAAAGCCGAGCTCCGATCTCTGAGCGCAAACTCAAAGTTGTTAGACCTGTGTCGATTTTATTCAATTCATTTCGAACGCTCTCATTGCTTATTGAACAAACAATCTCAGTTATATGCGCATCTATTACATGACGGTACTGTTATAAACCTGATTTAGTTGCATTTCAATATTAGGGATATAATATAATAAATATTGGAATAAACACGAAATGCCGTTCTACCGCACTAAAAGCACAGTAGTAGACTACGGTAGTATGGAATTACTATCAGGAATGAAGACACGTTATAGCGAGAGTATTCAAAGAATGCACTTCACGTCAAGGAGAGCCATACTTATGAGACATGTTAAATGAGGTTAGGTTCAAGAACGGAATCGAGCGACAAATATATCCCAAAGAGAAATGTCCTAGAGATATTAACAACATAAATTTCCGAGGCATTTGTTCTATATCGGATATTATTTTCAAATAGTGAAAAGCCTTCTATGGAAGCATACTGCGACAACTGTAATATCTATAGAATAGCTGTGTTCAGGGTTGAATCAATTGTAATGTACCTTCGAACTGATACAGTAGATGGTCTCTCTTTTTCAGTAGTGGTGAAAACTAAGATTTTGTAAGAAATACATAGGAAAACTTCCGAATGGCTCTCCATAGAGAACTTACAGATAAAAATAGGCCAAAAACGTCACAGGAACATCTGTTGTTAGTCGGCGATGATTTTAGTAATAAGTCCTCATAATTACTTCCGTCTACATGTGAGTTATGCAAAAAGATGGTTGAAGAACACCACAGTTTTCAGTATGTAAGAGGTCAAAAAGAATGTGTAAACGACTCTTTTTCATTGTTCATCTACTTTTATCCCTAAATCAAAACACCCGAGTACCAAGGGCACTTCGAGGATGAACACACACACGATGACTTTGGTGTATTATAAGTGATAAGCTGAAATTGAAGCTACTGTGAATCAGCATCCTGCATCGATCGTTGACGAAACCTGGTGGAAAGGAAAGGATGATATCAGCTAACGGCATCTATGAAGACTATGATTCAGCGAATACGAAGAAATCACCATGTAGTTGTGTCCACAACTAAGACCTTATAATAATAAATTTATGTTCACATGATAACAAATCTTCTAGAATCCAATTGATATCTGAAGGTTTGTAACTACTCGAAATCTGCTTGACAGCTGTACATTTGATTCAAGAAATCATCTGTGGCGGCGGTATTGGAATCGGAATCGGTCGCGGTGATCGGGGTGCCGACGAAGAAGCAAACGGCGGACTTTTCGTGGAAGTTTTCGGATCGTTTTGGCTGAAAATGCACATTATTACATACCTGAACAGTGCTAAACCAAACTTTTTTTTTGAAAGGTTGTGCAGGAAACTACGTTGGATACTCAAGAAGTTTTCAGAAAGAGCAATCGTCTCTTTTAACCTGAACTTGCGACTCTGGTATTCAAAAATGAGGTGTCTTTGAAAGGTTGATAGAAAAAGTGAAGAGTTACGAAGCTTCACCATATTGGATGGAAATATTGTGGTCATTGGCTATGAATGGCAGATTACATGGTCTATACGTAATTTGTAAAACGGCTCAGAATTTACCTGAATGGTGGCTTTCGTGGGGATGAACAATCAAATGAAGCTGGTCGGCTGAAAGATTTAAAGTCACATGACCTGTTAAAAGAGTATAACTACCATCACCAAAATTCTCATTTCTGAATTGGTATGACTTCAAATCATCAGGTAAAATCACAAGCCGAGCGGCTTCATTGATATTCTAATTGTTTAAAAATACTCCACTTACGTCACATCTTCCATAATGTAGTCCTCTTGGCCAACATCGCACAATGTTGTGTCCAGGTCGTCTGTATCATCTTCGTCACCGTTATTGATGTTGTAGTCGGCTTCGTTATCACTGTCTTCGCAGTAGCCAATACTGAGGCTCTCCTGAGCAGTGAAATACGCAGTCATGCCCGATCGCAAAGACGAGAGAGGTGAATGTTCGCCACTAGCCTACGAAAAATCGAATACCAAGCACTATCTGGGTGGCGCTGTGAGGAGAGTAAGAACGACAAGAGACAGTGCTCTAGAAACGAGGCTATGCTAAGCTTTCCACATGCTGCTATGCTGAAGCTAAATGGTTATGATCTCTATTGCTAGGCCTGGGATTTCTTAGCTAGTGCTCAATTAAGTAAGAAATCGATTTTAAGCTAATCGTTTTTCTTAAGCACACACGAAGTTCTTTATGCAAGATTTACTGAACACTATGTATTTTTTCCTTGGTGAGCTTACACGAGGTTGATAAATATATTTATTTCCGGCTAACGTTCCGACCTATTCGTCTTCATCAGAGCTGATGATCCGAGTCGATCACCCACACTTGTTCTGCATTTCGATGTGGCGGCTTTGTCTTCGTGTTGAGTCAGGTCTTCCTCAGGGGACCATCTCCCCAAGTGAAGCATACTCACTCGATGATGCCGTTCATCTGCATAAAACCATCCTGCATAATCTGCATGATAGCATCCTGCATAAAAGAGCATCACCGAGTAAGTATGCCTCATTCGAGGAAATGACCCACTGAGGAAGACCTAACTCGACACGAAGGCGAAGCAGCAACATCGAGACGAATAACAAGCTTGGCCATCGACTCGGATCAACAGCTCTGATGAAGGCGAAACCATCGGAACGTTAGCCGAAAATAAATATATTTATTAACCTCGTGTAAGCTCATTAAGAAAAAGAATACATATTGATCAACCACACCGAGGTTAAATAAAAGTCGGTTTCGAAATATTGTTGAACAGTGGTTAAGTTTCACCTGTTACAGTTAAACAAATCTTCGTGTGTGCCCAAAAAAAAGCATTAACTTATTGGTGAACGTCGAGGGTAATACAAAGTCAGTCCTGGAAACTGACTTTATCCATGATTATACTGTCCATGAAAATCAATATGTAAGGTTTATCATTCAATGGCAACATTCAATTCTAAGTTTTGTATAAACGATGAGGGTCACTGAACACGAGAAGAATCGCTGAGAGCTGGGTATGGATCAATAGCTATCATATGTTGGCAAAGGTGTTAGCGCATTCAGCGTCGTTTATTGGTACGGTTGGTGGAGAACTGCAGATCTGAAGTCAGTTTATTCCAACCTTTAGTAAAAGAAGAACAGTTAAAAATATTGACAAAAAACAACTGAAGCGTATCTGACGAGTTAGGCTATATTTTCCGACGGTGGTACATCAGGATCCTTGAAGGCGTTATAGGGAATAGAGCTACTACATTCGCTGGTTTTCTTATGTTCAACAGAAGACATAGCGAGAGTAACGAATCAGATGACGGCGTGTATACTTGCAACTTCTCCGAAGAATTTCTCAGAGCTATGCAATCCAAGTCATGCATGTCATCCAGAATACCACTAACTTGCCTAATTCAGGTTATTGCAGAAACTTTTGTTTATGAAATTAGAAGACGTTCAAACGACACCATAGAAAACTTTCCAAGTATTAGAAATGTTCAGATCTCCAAACGTCACAGTGAATTGGTCATAAAAATCGTAACGACACACCCTATTCCGATTTCCTTCTGCCAAAATTCTGAGGTTTGTGTGGCGCGGTGGTCGGATGTGCCCTACAATACACATGGGATCAATCCTCGCGCACAGGCTCACCGAGCCCTCCATCCCTTCGGGATCCGCAAATTGGTACCAGACTTGTCTTGGAGGATAGCAGCATTGGATCGATACATCGATTGACCACCGCGAGTCATTGTGCAGGCATCATTCAATCACCTCCAAACGACGCTTAATGAAGTCAACTGCATGGCGCATCTCTCAGGGATCGATGAACGCTCAGAGCTTTATCCTTTATCTGCCAATAGTCTATTATAGGCCATTAGTTGTCTGTAGTAACCATTACAACGAATAGTTTTTATTTTTCCATATTATCGCACTCTTCCTATGCTAATAATGCTTCCTACTAGTAAAATTAAACCTTCCATTTATTATTACTGTTATAATCTTTATCTTCTCTCTTCACCTCATACTACAAACTTAATCTGTTAAGCTCTTTATCCAAATAAGCACTCACTATCAAATCATACATTACTATTCCAAGATGTCGAAATTATCCTCATCCGCTGTACTCGGAAATTGCTTCTGTAATTTGCCCTCCATTGGCTGTGTACCAGCTTCGCCAAATGTTGACAATACGCTATCCCGGCATAGCATGACAGCCTTTACCAATTCTTTGCAAGCTGTGCTTGTAGTCTCCCATCCTTGACCGTTGAACTCACGTGTAAATACCGGCGTCTCCATGCCACGTGTAGCCTATGAAAGTACCATATGCCTGGCCCATCCGACGACAGTTCACAAAGCCCATCATTGGTTTGTGGGTGCAGAGCCCAAATGGGTGGTCCGGTCCCACTTCAACGCGACAACGCCTCGTTGCCAATAACACGTCATAGAATTATTTCTCTATAATATCACCTTAGCGTGTGTAGGATAGTGGTTATATGTGCCTTGCAATGCACACGCGATCCTTAGTCCGATCTCGCGCTTCGGATTTACAATGTGTTCCATCTCTCCGCGGTCGGGAAATGGGAAGCACACTTATCTGGATAGTAGCATTGAGTTGGTTACATCGATAACCCACTGCCATTCATTGTATACGCCAGATATGCACCTATGAGAAAATCACCTCTAACTGCTTGATGAAATTCGGATGCATCGCCATGGCCCATCCTTCAGACATTGATCGACGCCGAGAACTTCATCTTTTTTTATAACTTTAGCACTAGTGTGAAAGATGCTTTACCATTAATAATGTCCCTTGCTTCTCTTCATGTCATCTCTACCTACTGGTAAAAAATCTCTCGACGTCGATCAATTCCTAAGGAATGCGCCATGCGTTCGACTTCATTAAGCATCGCTGGAGGTGAATAAATGCATATCTGACCCCTACAATGACTCGCAGTGGTCTACCGATGTATCCAGCCAGTGCTGTCATCCTCCCAGACAAGTCTGGTACCAATCTGCCGTCTCCGGAGGGATGAAACGCTTGGTGGGCTAGGGGCGCGGGGACCACATCACATGTGTGTATTGCAGAGTGCCTCCGACCACACGCGCACCATATAGATACCTAGCTTACTGATAGCGTGTTTATATTTTTTACACTAAAGCTCTTGTTATCGCCATGTCGTTGTTATTGCACTGTTATTGCCACATTTGAACCGTTTGATTACCAAAATTTAGTAGCTGTCCTGCGGAAACAGTGAAAAGTCCTGCATGCCAAAATCGTACGAAGGCGAGCTCTATGGTGAGCTAAGTGACATCTTGGTAACGTCAGCTAACTCGGCAAATGGTATTAGATTAAACTAATTGACATGGTTTCAAACAGTCAAACACGAATAAAATTGGCAAGTTTCAGAGAACACTCCAATATCTCTAAAAACGGCTATTTTTAAAACGAAACTGTAGGGTACCTGTTTGGAACTGAGTCTTTCCGTTTCTGCATGATTATGGCTATTTGGATGTTGTGGTTCTGAAATTGTCACACGCTTCGGACTCGGCTTTGCTGAACCTGTAGAATGAAAGAGTAAGATACTTTTTGCATCGAAAAAATTCGCGAATTCTTTCTTTTGAAGAATAAGTTGACCGGTAAGAGACAATTAATAAGATCAGTTTGATAGAACTCATGCCTAAGTTGACTAAGCAAGGACAAAATCGGCTGGTTGCTTCCTAATTAAAGAGCGACTTTTTTTTTCCAGAGATTATCTCTGGGAAACACTCACCGTCTAAAATTTCCGAGAAAGATGACGACTGTAATGGTTGCTGTTCGTCCTTAGACAATCTCGCTGAAAATAATTGTCACTACTGTAATCCATTATAAAGAGATGAACAGAAATTATTCAATGGTAAGCTTTTAATACTTTAGACTCATATAAAATTGGCGCTCACTGAGTTATCTAGAAAAGTGAGCTACAAGCATAGAGCTGTTGGTGTAGGAGTAAAACTTCAAGCCCTAGGCGGACTTCGAACTCTCGTTTACCTTTGATGACATCCTTTAAAAAATAGGCAGGAAATAAAGTTAAGATAGCTAGACAAGTGTTGGGCTAAACTAAAGAATTAAGCGATCTTTTCGTAGCTTGAACGACTTTGATACATAATGATATCTTGAAGTCTACGCCAACTATACGTATTGATTGCTTCTGTATTCCGATCAATGAGCACGGTTAGAGCATTTCGCGCCTCTTATCTTGTACCTAAAGCTTAAATGACGTCCACGGCTGTACTTAATCTGAATGCCTGAGAATACAAGATATCCAAAGAATAAGGAGTATCTGTTTTATCAATAGAACACCTACAAACCCCAAAAACGTTACACGTTGAAGTCGAAACTATCTTGTTCGTCCATTTAAGAAAAGGAAACTTATCCCATGATTGGTAAATCTCGCACAGAAATACAAACCCGGCTACAAAAATAACAGTAGTATTGTAAAAAATGCATGTCTTGTTTCACTGTGAACATGAAATCGGCCCAAGAACATACGTTTCATGTTAGATTCAGTTCTCATCAAACAGTAACAACACGTAATGATGGTGATCAGTATGCAGACGATCGTCAATCCGATCACCAGGCCCATCAACCAAATCCCTGAAATCGATTATAAGTCGATTTTGTTCAGCCACTTTAAATGCCTATACGAATGCTCTAGCTATTGCTTTCGCTGCTGGTCATCGAATGACTAACTGAATTGATATCTGCTAATTGCTAAATCCCCAACGGTTTACCGTCTCATCGTGGCTGGGAGGTGTTCCTGGGTGTCGCGCTGCGATGTACAACGGGGATTCATCCTCCTGGCAGGGTCTCCCAAGCTGAGGAGTCCGGTGTTTCCAACAGGAAGCCTATCTAAAAGTAAATCAATACCAGGATCTACCATCGTCCTGGTATCAACGTTGTATGGTGGAAAACCTTTCTGTGATCCACAAGGACTGCGACTGCCTGTGGTGGAAGACCTGGAGTAGACTTTGGCCAGATTGACCTCGGGACTCCAGGGAACCACAATGGCTTAATCAGCAAATCTCCGAAAAGTGGAGATTATGCTGAGGCCCGCACAGCCATTGGGAACGGCTATTCAAGTAAGCAAGCTGCTAAATCGTCATAATGTATGTAGATGGATTTTATGTGAATGACATAGAAACGACGCATTTTTTTATTATAGAAAAGTATACTGTTTTCCTACCATGACTTAATGACAAGATGTCTTTAACAAAAGCGTATGATTCATGAAAGTATAAAAGTAAAACGAAAAGCGTGCAAACTAGTCAACGATGACCTACAGAGTTCTCCCTTTTCATTTATGATGAGCTCCACATTGTCGTTCTGATAGGTGAGACGTTTGAAGTTCGTCTCCCAAATGGGTAATTCGACTGGTTCACGGAATACTGTAATGTAAAAGGTTTAGCTTCTTAGGTCCAACTGTTAGGTTCTATTCACCTACGGACGAGTGAGTGTTCTTACGGTTGCTGCGTTTATTTTCGTCGTTGATAAAGAACATTGTGATGGAGTCGTGCATGACAAACAGTAGAATCCATTCCGGAAGGATAACTATTCGTTTCTAGTTTGCAGATGAGGTTACTATCAACTTTGGGCAACTAGAATAAAATAAAGAAAGGGTAGATCGAGTGATTGCATTAAACAGTCATCACAAAATTTGTTTTAACACCCTTTCGCAGATGACGCAGTGGTTGAAGATGCTGTGCAGTAATGTACAGATGGTCGCAAGAACGCTCATTCCGATCCATTTGAAAACGCCAATGACTGCCTTTGGAAGAGAGCTGAGGACGCCCTAACGCAGTTATCTCAAAAGTCTAGAGAGAATCAACTTCCCGAGCATCCAAGGATATTCAGTGAAAAGACAAACTCGAACCAACACGGAAATCTGAAGATGTGGATAGGTGAAGAGTACGCTGCAGCGAACAGAATTAAAAGTGCCGAATTCAAACAGAACGTGAAGACGGGTCACATTCGAAGGAAACAAACGGCTTGCATTTTATCACAGATGTTCCTTAATTAGTAGATTTGCATGGAAGTTTCACAAAGAAGCAGAACTGATAAATCTTTACAGACGGTCGTTTTCCAACTAGTTCTTAGAAAGGTTTTACCGATTATACCCAGAAAGCATTTGTACATTCAGTCACTTCCAACGATGATTGATGAAGTCGAATGAGTGGCGCATCTCTCAGCGACTGATCAATGCAGTGAGCTTTATACTTTTTTATCCTTTATCCCCAAGAATTGGCTAGGGGGTTCAAAATAGAGGGCAACACGAGAAATTGGTCAGAAGCTTGCAACAAAGTGACTGGAGAGTGGATAGGAAGAAATTCACCTATCATTCTGGATGGGGCCGAAAACTTGCCTATCCATCTCCAGAAAACAGAAAAGTACAATTTTGATAAGAAAAGTGTGGAGCTTTTAGTGTCATTTGGATAAGCGCATCCCACTACGAAGTTTTGGCTTGGCGACTGGAACGAAGTGGAAATGTTGCTTCCTCCACATTCTCTTAGCGATCAAGCGGACCAGTCGGGTGTTGATCATGGTAACTTTTTTGTTCGTGTGAAGATCTTACATATATACATACATGTATAGGTTGCAACAAATAAAATATCCGATTTTAAATGCAAGCTCTAAATAACCATAACTTTAATTCTTCGTATTTTTGTTGAGCAAACGCGAGGTGTTATTATTCTTTATTCACAAATGAGCTGACGTTTCGGCGGAT